GAGCCCCACCTAATGTGGAAGACATTGACGCTGTCCTGGAACCAGCTGTAGGTGAGGTTGGCAGGGTACGCCTCGGCCCGGCAGGCCAAGGAGATATCCTGGGAGGCATTGACCGTGCTGTTCTTGGGGGGTGCCGCGATGACTGGGGGTCCTGTGGGGAGCACAGGGGAGGGAGAGGCCTCAGCCCACAGTCTTCCCAGACACCTGAGTTCACTTTTACTGCTCTTCCTGGAGCTGCCCTCTAGAACACTCCTTCACCCAGCAACTCCTGCCTGAAACCGTGTGTGTGTGTGTGTTGGGGAGGGGTACCAGGTTTAACTCTCCACTCATTCACCCTCTAGCCCCCTCATCTGCCACACCTTAAATCATCTCTGTCTCCTCCCCTAATCCAGGTACCAAGTACCTTACCCCCAGGTGCCACAGGGATCCTGGGCCCAGGCTCCTCACCTCTCCCCCTCTGATGGCCATCCATGCACCGAAAGGCCATTTATTTATTCTTTGGCCACAGAACACATCTACTCCAGACCCCAGAGCAGCTGCTGTCTCCTACCGTGTGCAGCTCACACGTCCTGACTCCACCCTCCCGATCCCAGCCCTCCCGCCTGGCCAGCCCTTTTCACACATCAGTGCCTATGGGCGGCTGTTAGCCTTGTGCCAGGTCACTCCTGTCCCAGGCCTTTGCTTTCTGAACCCCCATCCCGGGTGCACTTCCTGAGAGCCCGGCCAAGCCACAGAGCACCACCCCAGCAGCTGCCGCTGCTCTGCTCGCTCCCCTCTCCGCTCCCAGGGGCTCTGCCAAGCACTGCTCATTGCCTTTCACCCTCAGAAGAGCCTGTGTTGTGGGAACAGGTGAAGAAACGAAGGCTCGGAGGCAGAGAGGCTGTGAGCGGCTTCCCAAGGTCAGCAGGGAAGGTGAGGTTCACAGTCAGGCTTCCCAACACCAAAGACTTCACCCTCAGCCATTCCCGACACGGCCTTTCAGGGGCTCGATGGAGGCAGGGCCCAGGCCTTCTGTTGCTCAGCTTTCATTCTAAAGGGAAGGTCTTGGCCAGGAATTACTAGGTGCTGATCACTAATTAAATTCTTGTCACCGCCCTAGAATTTGTGGGAGTAGATACGAACCTCTTTATATAGGGGAGGAGACCGGGGGCCACGGGGGCCACGGGGGCCACAGGGCTCATGAACGAACACCAGCACCCATGCTTTCGCCTCTACACTGCACTTTGCACGTGGAGGAGGCCTGGCAGGTGTAGATCCCAGCGCTGCCTCGCTCCACCCGCCGGATCCACAGCGTCCCGTTCTGCACCTAGGGTAGTGGAGGGGGAGCCCCGCCCCGCCACAATCAGGCCTCCCCATCGGTGTCCCAGCTCCAGGCCTTCCCCAAGGACGGCACCTAGCACAAGCAGCTGCGTGGTGTGGGTGGTGCTGCCCTCAGAATTGGAGGCCTGGCAGGTGTAGATCCCCGCGCTGCCTCGCTCCACCCGCCGGATCCACAGCGTCCCGTTCTGCACCTAGGGTAGGAGTGGAGGGGGAAGGCCCCCTCCAGCAGGCCTCAGACCCTGCATTTCCCAGGTTGGCCAGCAGAGGGAGGCAGCACCCCAGGCTCAGGAAACCAAAGGCCAGCCCTTCCTCTGGCCTTGGCCAGCTCTGTCCTACAGCCCCGCCCCCCACACCTCCACCTGCCCCTCACACCAGCCAGCAACAGGATTCACCTGCATCGGGCCCTGGCTCTGGCTGAGGTCCTGTCCTCGGAGCTTCCAAGTCACATGAGGCTGGGGGCTGCCATGGGCCACACAACGCAAGGTCAAGGGCTCCAGTTCCTTAACTTCCAGCACCTGAGGAGGTATCTCCAGGAATTGAGGGGGTGCTGCAAAGAGAGAGGCATCAGGGGCTGCCAGAGGAGCTCCTGGCCTGCAGGCAGGGAGACAGATCAGGGCTGCAGCCTCAGCCCAGGGCCATCCTGTCTGCTGCTCTCAGAGCTGAATGAGGATTGCACCAGCCCAGCCCGAAACTGGTTTGCAGAGTTGGCAATGGGGTCTGAGCACAGGCAGGGTGCTCAGAGCCAGGTGCCCCCTAGAAGAGCACTGTTCTGGGCATCAGGAGGCCAGGGTTCTAGACTCCACTCTGCCCCTAATCAGTGGCATGACCCAGTCTCCCTGTGCCCCTGTCTACTCATCTATAAAATGGGAATAATTATGACCTCCTTCCTTCTCAGGGTTGAGAAAGAATTCATGTGGTATTGGGTTAAAAGCTATTTTTGAAAAATATGCTGTATATATGTGATTTGTGTTTCACTCAGGGCCCAAGAGCCCCCACCCCTTACCCATTACTCTCTCCTGGCCAGGGAGGCAGGAGCAGGGAAGAGAGGGGAAGAGAAAGTTCCTAACAGAGAGCCTCTAGACCCTAGACTGGATTTCAAAGACCGGAAAGTGCAGGAGTGGGCGTGGGAGGGACAGAATACAAACAATGAGAGCAAATAAGGGTGTCACCAAGGGTGGGGGCCGAGAATCTGCCATACTCCTCCCCCCACACACCCTCCCCCCTCACCAGCCAGGGGCCCCATCACCCTGCTCCCAGCTTCATACAATTGACTGTGAGGTGCACCCAGGAGCCGTTAGCAGAATCGTCTTCGGGGCTGTGCCTGTCCAGGAAGAGCACGCGGCATTCGTACCAGCCCTGGTCTTCCACCCGGAGCCCCTCGATCTGGAGAGATGCCCCCTTCTGCAGGCGGACTCGCCCTAGAGGAGGAGCCCTGAATCAGGGTGCTGCAGGGACCCAAGGGAGCCCCAAACCCTAGTCACACTGGTCATTCTCAGAGGTCAACACTGGGCCCAGTCTCTCCCCGTTACCCTGATGGAGTGGGGTCTGCAGAGGCGCAGAGGGTCCTGAGGGCAGGTCCCTCGTCAGCCCCTCTCATTGCTCCTGCAGCAGCAGTGGGGACCAGTTTAGACAAAGGGAACCCAGAACTAAAGAGGCGGACAGCTTCCAGGACAGTTGGGGGAGCAGGTTGAAGAGCCAGCACTGAGTATCCTTGGATTCTTCCAGGATCTGCCCCTCCCATGAGTCCTCCTCCTGCCACAGGACTCTGTCCCCGGAAGCTCAGCAGTGCCTGGGGCCTAAGCAGAGACCCCGACCTACTCTCCCAAAGGCCCTAATCCCTGGGGCTATTATCAGCGGTCTAAGCGCCTTTGGGTGGCCAGAGTCCAGCCCCGCCAGGCAGCAAGATCAGCAGCGTCCTCACCTCACCCCCTCACACCCCGGGGCACCCAGGCCCCAGCTGACTGACATAGAGCTACACAAGGCCACACAGCCCAGCACAGGCAGGGACTGCATCCCCACCTCACTCAGCATCTACACCACCCCACCAGGGACGGAGAGTGCCCCGAAATCCCTCAGCAGCTCCCGACAGCCCTGCATCCCAGACAGCTGCCTGGAAGTGCAATGCAGAAAGAATGGCAGCTCTGCTATATACCCTAATCTCTCTCAACTTCAGTGTCCCCATCTGTAAAAGGAGAGAGAACTCCGGGTGGAGGGGAGGGGAGAGATCATGTAGGGAAGGCAGGCAGCATGGCGCCGGCATCAGCCGGTGCTCACATAAAGATTGATGAGCAAATAAATGAGCTCAAGGTTTGAAATCAGCAACCTGCATTCAATCCGGGCCCCGGCCCACACCTCATAACACATCCCCTCCCTTCCCTTACCCTGTAGCGGCGAACAGCACCACCGTGCACCAAGCCCCCTCCCAGAAACCCAGCATCACCTATTCCTCTCGCCGTGACCGCTCCCTCTACCTGTCCAGTACATCTTTCATATTCTACCTACACCGCTGTTCTTTCTCTAACTCCTTCACCTTAGTTTAGTCCTGGGTATCTCTGACCTGCATGACTGACAGCCTATGAGAGGTCTCCCTCCTCCGGCTGAGCCCTCTGCATTCATCAGCTGCCCACCCCACCTGGACCTTGCATGTGGTTAAAAGACACAAGTCCCTTAGCATTGTGCCCACTCCAACCAGACTGTGGCCCAAATTAGCCCTTCCCAGTACTAGGAATCCTACAGCTTGTCTGTGCACTCACCCACCCCATCTGCTTCCACCCTAACCTCTCTCCCCTAAGAGAGGTGACCTTTCTGAACTATATAGTCTGACCCCATGGCGCCCCCACTGCCATCTGGGAAGAGAATGACTAAGTGGAGGCCGGCTTTGTGATCGTGCGCGGGGACTTCTTCCCCCCAGGAATGAAGTCCAGGGGTGTGGATTCTCTAGGAAGGGTGAGCCTGTTTAAAGAGCTTGGTATTTACATCTCCACCTAGGAGATAAGCCGAGGACCTGCAGGTAAATATTTAACATAATCACACCTTTCCACCCACCATAACATTCCTCAGTAACCCTAATCTACCTGGATGTACAACCCCACAGACCGCAGGCTGCCACCTCCTCTAACTGCCATGTGATAAACTTTTCATTGTGGTGATCTTCATCTCTACAAAGAAGGCAGAAGAGGAAGGGAAATTGAATGTTGAATACGGGCTGTGCGATATGAGGCACTGTCACCGTATTTCATCCTCCCCAAAATTCCATTATAGAGGAAGGAACTGATAGTAAGCTTCTTCCCAAAATCACATGACTAGTGAGTGCCAAAGCCAGGCCTGCTTTCTCAGCCTGTCATGCTTTCACCGCACACTGGTGTCAGGAGCATGCAATGCTCAAGGCACCCGCACGGAGCACTCCCAGTGTGCTCACTCCGGTGTTAGTAGCCAGTGGTAACAGTTCCTCGTGTGCTGACCAGAACATCAGTGAAGACACTGCATGTCCTAACTTTCCCATGCGATGTGGACCACTAGACCCATTACAGAACAGGAAAATGGCCGGGGCAGGCAGTCCTGAGTCCACCTGAGTCCTCGGTCCACTTCCTGGAGACCACCCTCCACCCATGGGGCCAGAGCCTGGAGGACTTGAGTCCTCCCTGCATGCAGGGATGTATAAAGGAAGCAGGAGATGCATCGCCGCTCTCACAAGCTCCCAGCAGGCAGGGAACCCACACTCACGTTCACATACACACAGTTCCAAACAATGGTGCTAACTGCACCCAGATATTCCAAGAGACTGTGAAGCGAGAGGAGTACGGAAGGTCTCCAGGAAGCTGTGACCATGGACAGGGTTTTGGAGGACAAAAGGCAGTAAGGGGAGGTGACTGGAGGGATCGGGGGCATTCTAGAGCAGAATAAGATAAGTGATTTGTATCAAACAAGTCAGGAGAGAGGAAAAAAACTCATGTCCCTTCTGCTGTTTGGTGCACCTTGAAACTACCAAGAAATACAGCGCAAAAGTCAAAAACCAAAAGCTGGTCCCATGGAATAGAAGGACTGGCCTAAGACCCACACCAGGAAAGGTGAAGTCGATAAGGCACGCCTCTGTCCTCTCATGCCCGGCCATGTTCACACCACGCAGGCGCTCCATGCCAGCACTTCACACTGTGTCGGACTTAATCCTAGTAGTTAGCACTAGCTGGCTTTATACGGCCTTTTACTACCTTCAACCTAGTCTATAAATCCAGTCTCCTCCGCTAGATTGATTCTGGAATCCTCCATGGCTGGAAGCTTTCCCTTCAGTCCAGGCCCTAAAGCTCCCGTCTCTCTCATGGTTCCTCCCACATTCGAGGCACCAGCCCCACACAGTCCCAGGCCCTGGCCCCTTCACTTGCCCGGAGGGTTTATGACAGGGCAGAAGAGTCATTAGCAACCTCTACCTCCCATTGCCTAGCAACGGCAGTTCAGAGTCCCCTACACAAAGGATGAGAGGCCCTTCCACACTGGGAGGCAGGAAAGGGGCCCCTTCCACACTGGGAGGCAGGAAAGAGTTAATGGGCACAGGGACCATCCCCCAACCTCCACCCTGGGACCAGACTCTGAGGACTAGCCCTGGCCCAACCAGGAGCTCCAGCCTGGGGCTGGGTGGACACCGAGGGCAGGGGTAGGAAGAAAGCCCCAGAGGCGACAGCCCTGACGGATAGAAATCCCACAGGTAGCCCAGTTGCTGGTCAGAACTCAAAACAGGATGGGGTTGGGGAGGGGGGGAAGGTAGTGGGGGGCGGACAGGGAAGAAGAATTGCACGTCTGCCTGGTGGAGTCTCAGGAAAAGCCCTTCTCCCTTTTCCTCCCTCTGCCTTAGTCAGGCATCCTCTGCATCTGCCAGCCTCAGCCAGGCAGCCCACACCCCTCCCAGCCTGGGGTGGGGGTGCGGGGGGATGTTCGGGGAGTGGGGGTGGGCACTGCCGCTCTCTCCGCTTGTCCTAACCAGAGCCCGCTTTCATCAGTTCCCAGGGGGCTTGTGGAGACACATATGCTCCCACTAGGCTGTTTGCCAACAACTGCCCCCAGTTTGAAAATAAACTCTTCCCTTGGGCAGCACCTGCCGGCGCCGCCTCCCCTTTGTCAGCCAGCCCCTCGGAGGGAGCTCAGCCAATCCTACGGCTTCTCCGGGATTCAAATTAAGACGGGGAAGGGAGAGCCCCCTCCAGCCACAAGGACCTCCCAGGTGGCCTTTCCTGGGCTTCCTCCTTAGTTCACAGGGGACCCCACCTTGGGCCTCCCACACACTGCCCTCTGAGACCTGCACTACACCTCTCAGATTAAGGCTCCAGCCAGGATTAGGGGCACGCTGAGCCTTCTGAGGAGCCCAGGGAGGCCTACACACTCCTCTAGAGTCCATGCAGGAGCCCCTTGGAGCAGCAACCCAGCCCAGCCCCTTCCATTCACCGATTTTTTGGGAGCCTGGCCCTCCCCAGCTCACCTCTGTGCACAGGTTGAGCGCCCACTGGACAAGCAGACAGGCTGTAGACCCACCCACCTGCTGCCCTATCAGTCCAGGCCCTATGGGCCTAGGAGCCCCAAACTAGCATTCAAGGCAGTGGAGGAGGGAGAGGGCAGGGGACTGAGCTGATAGCAGAGCCAAGGACCAGGACAGGGCCACATGGGGAGACCAGGGAAGATCAGGATGGAGTCTGGGAAGCTTTTGTGATGAGATCTAGAAAAGCGGTTAGAGAATTAAGTTGGATACTTGAAACAGGGCTGTAGGATCTCCCTGGGAACAGACCACATGGAGTTCTAAACAGCGTGTGCATGTGCGTGCATGCGTGTGTGTTCGCACGCGTGCACACATGTGTAAATGCAGCTTGGAGCACATGCTTATTAAGCAGAATCAAAGCAGTGGAGCTGAGGTAAGGTCAGGGCAGGGACAGAGCAGGTAAGGAGACACCCCCTGGCCCACCCCCCCGTCCCTGCCGCCGCCCGGCTCAGCCCTTCTCTGTTGGCGATCCCTCTGACCTGTGGCCAAGTCTTACCCACGTAATCAGGGTCCACGCGGGGAGAGTAGAGGCCGAACTGGATGAAGATGGGAAGCAGGAACCCAAAGCGCAGCCACTCAATGACGTGCAGCGGGGGCTGGCCAGCTGCGGGCAGCAAGTCACAGCCCAGCACGGCGCTCTCCCCAGCCCGGCCCACCACCGACACCACCTCAGGCTTCCCTTGACCTGCATGGCGGGTGGCACGAGACACAGCAGGGCCCAGGTCAGGGCTGAGAGGGGAGGTCCCATCAGCATTTCCGGGGGCTCCCTAGGACTCTGAGTAGGTGAGGGAACCCTCAACTGCTCCAGAACCCTCCCATGCTCACAGAGAACCCCTGGGGAACGCCCCCACCCCAACGCTCACAGGGAGTTCTGGAGTCCAGCTCACCGTCAGCCCTCTGGCTGATGACCAGGCTGAGGATGGCCAGACTGAGGCACCAAACCATAGCCCGGCTGCCTGCTCACCCGGCCCCGCCCTGTCCACAGGGGCCCGGGTGGAGGGGCCTGGGATGTCCACCGCCCAGCGAGCCCGGTCAATCCTTCTGATCAGGTAACAGGCTTCGGCTCCCACTCTGCTGGACAGTGAGGACGTGGCTCGCCAAACACCTGAAGAAGCTGTTCTCTGGAGCACGGCCAGATCGAAATGCCAACTGCAAGGCGATATCCAGAGGTGGCCAGTGCTGGAAACTGGGAGGATTCCCACGGTTAGAGAAAAGCCAGGAGGGGAGCAAAGGACGGGAAAGGAGATGAGTAGGAGGGAGGGACACAGGAGACCAGAGAGCTTGACACCTGCCCCTGGTGAGGAGGACCTGAGACCGAGCAAGGGAGGGTAAGGGCGTGCGGGCAGAGGGCGACCAGGCAGGTCGGGACATGCTAGGGGGCACATCTAAGAAAACGCCGAGGAATTCTTGGGAAACCGGGGTTACTAAGGTTCTCGAAAAACTAAAGCGGGAGGAAACTGGGGGTTCCTATCCACTCAGAAAAATGTTTTCAGGGGAGTACGGGAATGAACCCTCTCGGGCCAGCCTCCTCTTCCTTCTCTCCCCTTAGTTCTGATGTGAACAAAAAGGTGGCAGATAGGAGGTAGGACTGGTATTGTCTCCACTCCCCTAGTGAAAAATAAGGACCTTGAGACTCAGAGAGCCTCGCTCAGGGGCACAGAGCCAGTCAGGGGCAAAGCATGGATAAGAACCCCCAGAAAGTGGCCCCCAGGGGACCCCACACAATTCTTTGTCCTGTTTCCCCAGCCTCGGAAAACCCTGGAAGCTGGGGACCAGTCCCTCCTTCTCCACTCAGCCTCCCAACACTGCTTCAGCAGTGAGTGAGTCAGGCATTTGGGAAAAGGGGACTGCCTCTCCCCCAGGCTGGTATGGGGGGGCCCGGGCAGCACCCTCCAGGTCTAGGCAGGTCCCTGGGCTGGCATCTGGCCTCACTTCCTCTTCATGGTGCTGCCAGGCAGCCTCCCTCCACCAGACACCCTGACCCAAGTGCCTCACCCCAATTCCTGCCACTCACTCCCCTCCACTATCCACCCCCCAGAGTTTGCAGGCTCTCTCTTCCCCACCCCTAGGGGCATGCTCCATGAAAAGCCAAAAAAGCCATGAGTCCACAGGGTGAGGCCTGGGGATGGGTGGGGGTGCCGCCTGCCTTGGGCCTTGGGCAAATCCAGTGGACTCTACTCTAGGCCTCCACCCCACTCTTGGCTTCACGGTTTCCCACTGGCTATAAAACATCCCCCGTCTCTCAGCCTGACCCCTGCCTCTACCTAATGGCCTCGTGTGTCCTGCACCTCATGGGAAGCATCCCCTTGCTCCCCACTGCTTCTAGCCAGCTCTCCCACACTTCCCCAACAATGTTCTTCCAAGCGTGTAAGAACCCTCAATTACCTCCTGGCTCAGTGTTCTGGGGACCTTAGTAACCCAGGTTTCTCCAGAATCCCTCTGCTTTTCCTAAAATTGTATCAACTCCTCAGCCCCCAGCATGTCCTCACCTGTCTGGTCTCCTGCACCCAGCACTCCATTCTCCCAGTATCCCCATTCCAGTCATCTCTACCCCCCCCCCCCCCCCCCCCCACACACACACACACAAATGCCCATTTTTGGAACCTGATCTCCAATTGCATCAGGTCCTCTGCACTTCCAGGAACTCCCAGTCTCTGCCAGAATCCCCACCCACGTACACACCCACGGGGGCTTCTCCCACCTGCTCCCCCTGGAATTTTTCTCCCTAGAATTTCCCTGCCTCTGCTTCCAATACACTTCTTTAAATTTTTTATTGATTTTTTTGAGAGATAGAGAAAGGGAGAAAAAGAGAAAGGGGGAGGTAAGGAGGAGAGAAAGAAAGAGAAGAGAGAGAGAAACATGGACTTGTTCCACTTATTTATGCATTCATTGGTTGATTCTTATGTGCCCAGACCCGGGATCAGACGTGCAAGCTTGGTGTACCCCCACAATGCTCTGCCCACTTGAGCTCCCAGCAGGGGCCACTATACACTTCTGATGCCTCACCCCCAATTTCCTCAGTCCTCGCCTTCTCTGGACCCCTGGAACTCCTTGCTTTTGGGACCCCCCAGAGCCAGCCCCCTACACCACACACACACACACACACACACACACACACACACACACACACGCATTGCCTCCAGAACTACTCCAGTGCCCAGGGAACCCACCCACCAAGAATCCCACTTCGCTCCCCAGCACTCGCCTAGTTCTGCGCCCCAGAAAATTCCACTTCTCTCCAAAAGACTCCCGCTCTCTCCTGTCCCCCCGACTCCCGCACCTTCCTCTGTCCCCCGAGACGCTCCCATCCCAGCCCCTCGAGCACGCCCACGCCCTCACCTGCTCCTCGCGCTCCGCTCCACTCCACCCGCGACACACA